TGGCCCCAACCCCCCCCCCCCCCATGACCCTGATAAGGCGATAGAAGATGAATGAATGATTAGATGAATGATGAATGAAAGTTGTCGTTCGATTCTCACCCTACTATTACTGGCTTCGACCAGCAGGTGGCAGCACATACCTTTAATCAGCGTAGATTTGTGACTCAACGTGCAGAAAAATGTTAAATCAACATATATAAATGATTTAATAAACGTGTTACATAAAATATAATTTACATATACATGAACACATATATGTATTGTCTTAACATATATATTTTATAGCTATAATAACATGTATAAATTACATATATATATAAATATCTACATTTGTTATATGTATAATATATATTTTTATAATACCTATATACATATACATAAATATATATTTATATACGTACACATATACTATATATAGTCGAATGTCTTTGCGCACGTCTGCATGCACGATATGAAAGAAAGAGAGAGAGAGACTGCATTGTCGTCGTCGTATAACCTTGAACGCTCACGAAGCTGCGGGGAACTCTGAGCAGCTCATCAAATATTTACAGCGCCATCTAATTCAGGAGATTGTGTGTCGGTTCCGTCCTTAAGCCTGAGGGCTGTCTGCTACAAGTCTGCAGCCGGGAGGGAATCTGTCGTGGGTTTAGTCGAAGATCGACATGGGGGGGAGAAAAAAAAAAACCCATTTCATCGCAACAAGTTCCTACACGCGCTGCATCGACATCGGTCCCGGAAAAGGGACTCCCATGTAGTTCCAGTTCTCCTGTCTGTCCTGGGTGAATTTCGAATATTATCCTGTTTAGTTGAAGGCAACGCCGATATACCGGCAGGAATTGAAGAAAAATCTCGTTTAGCTATTATCTTTTTCTTTGTGTTTTTATAGCCGTCTGCTGCCACCTAGCTGAAGAGTATTGAATTTGTTTCTGCCTTTCGTGCGTTGATGAGCAAAGCAAAAATGATACGCAATGGATAAATAATAAGTTTCCCATGGCGCGCTAGTGGGCCACAGGACAGAGGTTGGGGATCACTGTCCTGAGGTGAAATACAAATATTTATATTAAATAGTTACAAATAAAAAAAACACGCTTTCTATTGTAATGCTCTCAGTTCTATTTCTCATTTGTGGCACGCCTGTGATGCTAACGCTAATGCTAATGCAAAAAAATTATTTCGCGGTTCATCTTTCGCGGATTCACGACTTCGCTTCGTTTTTGAAACTATGTATAAAATCTACTGTATCCTGTATTTGGATCTGCGAGAGATGTCACAGGAATGGGATGACGATATGGTTCGATCGGTCCAATTTTGCGACAAAAATCGACGACGTCGTGACTGCCTACAAGCTACCGTTCAACTGGAAAAAGAAGCAGCGAAAGCAACGATCGCGATGTTCAAAGAGCCAGTTCCTGCTAATAGTACTACGGATACAGCTTCGTAAACCGTGGAAGAGGTGCCCCAAGAAATGGCACCACCCTCTGGAGAGACGTAAAATCAATCATCGGCTGCGCCGTAAAAGCCATCGTCACCTTCATCGTCATCATTTTACTGCGCACTAAATATGGTGTCACGACTTTGCGGAAATTCAGATCTCGCGGCAGGGCCTTGGAACCGATCTACCGCCATAAACGGGGGGGTTATGTAACATTCGAGGCAATTTGTCAACTGATAAATTAGCAGCGCCCAATCCCGAATGTGGATTTTATGCAGTCGTATTATTTGAAGATTTTTTTATTATTATTATTTTTTAATTATTTTTACTGTTATTTTTGAGCTAGGGGGCCACTCCATTGCCTCGGTGGGGGGGGGCGGGGTGGTGAACGGATGGGGGAGCATGGACCATATGTGCACATTTCTCACCTTAATGTAAGAAGAATGTGTGGAGTTGCTGTGCAAATTTGTATGACGCAAATATAGAGGTGTCGTCTCTGGGTCCACATTCTGCAGTTTACAGAAGGCGTTTGTGATGTGAGAGAAATATTTAAGCTAGATTGATCAAAGAATGTAATATACGTATATATATGTATATATGTGTGTATATGTTAGAGGTGAATTTTTGAGCCCATTACGATTTTGACTTCCCAATACAGACTTTTCTGATATTCTGATTCTGATATTCTGATATTTTTTTCAATTGATATGTATATTTTCAAAATATGTGTATATTTGTATACATGTATATACATATATGTGTATGTATATATCTATATTTTTACATGCATACATATATACACATATATGTGTATATGTGTATGTATATATGTGTATATGTGTATACATGTGTATATATGTATATATGTATACATATGTGTATAAATGTATATATGTGTATATGTATGTGTATATATGTATATATGTGTATACATATACATATATATGTGTGTATATGTGTATATATGTATATATATATGTATATTTATACATATACATATATGTAGGGATTTGTATGTGTGATATGTGTGTGTGTATAATCATGGAGTACTTCTCCAGACTGGGTTTGCGTCAATAGTGCATAGAGACTAAAACTTGATGTCTGTCACCAGGATCGGTACCAGATCTGTTCTTCAGGTACATCTTCTGTGGAAGGGTCTTACAGCGAGTCTGTTTGTCCATCTGTTCTTGTTGGCAGACGTCATTCGTTTTTAATCTGGATTAAGTCTGCCGATCTGTCACAAAACCAAAACTAGCCTGCAGAGTGCGAGAGAAAAACAAAACAAAAAACGTAAATACACATAATCAGTACTTCATAGGAAAATTCCATTTCATTTATATCTTAGATTTATGCAAATATCCTGTATCAGACAGTATCAAAATACTAATCAATACATTGAAATCAAAACACATGACCTGCAGTATATATTAAATATAAATGTATATATATATATATATATATATATATTAAAAAATGGATGAAGTTAAAGTTGTCCTAGCGCTGAAGACACAATGTACCACTTTGCTGCGAGAAAAAAAAACCAAAACAACTCACAATCTCATGTTGGCTGTGAATTTTCACACCGATCTCATTGTTCCTGTTCTTGTATGTAAATGAGCTTCACATCGCAGCGCACGGTGAAAAATAGTTAGCGGATGATCATTTGTGCGGCGGGAGTTTTTCCTGCTTCTGTAAACAAAATAGTCCTAATAATATATTGATATATAATGATGTAAATATTATTTATATATATATATATATATACATATATATATATATATATATTATCACCATGCTTGTCCCTGAACACATTTCCGAATATATATTTTTATTTACTTTGGTTTTTATAAACGGGACAAAGACGATAGCTAGTTAAGGAATATGTTCGCCCACTTCACAAGATCAACCGATCTATCTACTGTATCGTAGAATTAACCTAAACTTCACCGAGGTCCCAGTCCAGTTTTACTAACAGTTCTAATGTAAGTCGATGGTTTTCACCTCAAAAAATATCGGCACCGCTGCCTTCCTCATGAATCCGTCAACCGAGCAAAGCGTCTTGTCATTAGACGATCTTGGGTATTTGCTTTTTTTGCAGTAGCATTAGCTGCGCACATGCGCTGCTGACTCCTACGCCCCCCCC